TGTCGATTACCAAATTTTTTGAGTGTTATATTTCCTTAACCTGACAAGCCAGACTGATGGTTTTTATTACTCATCGATAATCTGGTCCTGCTCCCATCAAATCTATTCGGGGAAAGAAGGGAAGTTCAGAAGAAGCTTTTTAGCTGATTGGGTGAACCTTGTGCCTGCCTACCAACGTTCGATTTTAGGTAACCACCTTAACAAATGAAATTGCAGCAGACGGCATGAGGAAAACTCAACAACGTATACTGTTATGCTCTTGCAGCTATGTATATGTCATCCTGCGCTTCCATGTTATTTTTTTGGTTTTGCCAAGAGCTCGGTGGCTTTTGCTTACATTGGAGCTAAAGTCCCGCCTTAAATCATAATGTCGCAACATGGTTGGACAAACCGCATTGGGTCGATCTCAAACGGCTTAAGCGAGAGCGATACAAGATGGATTCTCGTGTGTTTTCTCAACACATAAATGCTTGTTTTTGGGAAATAATGTGCTGCCATTTTTTTTAGTTTTTTTTTTAGTTTTTACGGCACTAGTGGCTCGTTTTTATGGACAGTAGGCTGACAGGAAAGGGGGTAGGAGAGAGGTGGACAGACATGCGGGAAAGGACCACAGGCCGGATTCGGACCTGGGTCGCCCGCGTTGAGGACTAAAGTGATGGTTATACTCCCCGCAGCAGTGTGTCGCAATGAGCTTGACGCAGTCATACAAACAAAACAAGCCGGCAAGCGGATGTAGATTTGACCAATTTCAATTTCACCTACAATTTGGGAGAAGTGCAGCAGAGTGTCTGCAGAGGGGGCAGGGACGTCTTTGCGTTCACTGCGACACCTACGCAGACAAACTAGTTTCGAAGTATGAATCAGCATTAAGGCCTCTGTACATCGGTCGTGTGCGTTAACCACTGCGCCACCAAAGGGCCACCATTTTTATTGTTTGCCGTGAGACATTATTTTTTACAAGCACGTTAGGCCCTATGATTTCCACGATGCAGAAAACACGTACAGAATTGCAAAATTAAGCAAATAAAATAGAATCTAGTTCAAAACTCGGGATCTCACAGGATTCAGCTATGGGGACATATAGTAGTCTGTGAGGTATTTTACCAACTAGCAACTCCTGCATCTGCCGTTACCTGGTGAAAAGAGGTGGGCTCAGTCAGCCATGCCATGGGTACGAGGCACGCAGAAACACTAAAATCATCCAAGAAATTAGAAATAAAAAAAATGTGAAACAAAATTTTGGGCAGAACAATTCTTCAGCAATTTTTTAAGAATCTGGAGAGCAGCTTTTCTGCAAGTTTTGTTGTGTAAGAATACAAATAATGACCACCTAAAGTCAGAATCACATCAGAAACAGGAAAAGAAGCTAGCTAGCATTCAACTACATCAGTGCAAGCCAGGTGTGAGCCTATTTTGGACAGGTGTTTTTGTATTTAGAAATAAGACTGTATTGCTTTGCATAAGCATGCATCCAATTTAATTTTCATGTGTGGACAACATGTTAGTTTATAGGTTTTATGTTTCTTTATGAGACATTTATATGTTCAACTCTAAAGCACTTTTACACAAAATACCTTTTTTAATGTGAGATTATATGTTTCACACATAAATAATATGTTTTGTTGTATGAAATAGGTTTAAAAAAATACTTTTAAACACCTTGCAAAATAATTTAATGTTCAGCTGAACCACAACAATTTGTTTTTGTTGTAAAATTGAAACAACAGTCATTAAATTTTTAATAGCTATTCATTTGTTAAATATTTTTCAAGCACTTTATAATTATGTAATTTTGAGAAAAGAAAAATCAAAATAAAGTGGATTTTTTGTAAAAATAAAATGGATTCTCCTAAGCATGTTTCACAGCTTAATTGTCGTGGTCCTTTAAATTGAGGTCACGTCCAAGAGGGGATGATTGAAATAACAGCTAGGTGTTGAGTGTTTTTTTTTAAACCAAACTTAAGGGAGAAAAAAATCAATTAATCAGATTTGGTTGGAAAAAAATAGAGATTAGATTTTAAAGCTTCCAGCCCTGCCCTGATTTAAGCTGTTCTTGGGATGGGTCCTGGTTCTTTGGCAGTAAACACTCTCTAAACTGATTAAAGTACAGTCATTAAGTTACATCTAGTTAAAGTACTTTGAGGAGTGCGATTGATACTGACTCAGCATAACTGCAGCCAAACAATAATATTAAAACTTTAATTGTTTCATAGTGGTAAGTTTTCAAATTTATTTTTGAAACACATAAACAGAACATACCGCTTAGATTTCCATCAGAATAAACAACACATTTAACCTCCTGTTGTGGAAGAAAACGTTCTCCAAGCCACCTCATGACTCAAGGGGCCCTCGTCACTGATGATGTGCGGTTTTTGGCTGGCGTGCCACCTCGGGGGCCAAGCACTAAATCAATGATGGTGCTGTCCATTTGCTGCACTCTGTTCCAAATCAGTCGGAGTCCATCTTTATGCTGAAATCCTTGCTGAGATTCACTGTTATGCAAGGGGTTACATTTGTGGATTAGCACTTCATTTTCAAGGGTAGACATCAAGAATCCAGAAGCATTTATAGGTCACAAAACCCAGGTTGCCATATGTGTTATACTTAGAACAAAAGGATTTTTGAATCATTTGTATCTTTCAGTATGTTTAGTTTTAGATCGATGCCTTTATATAAAAAGCTGTGCAGAGAAATACAACTAGCATGTATTACATATCTAGATTTGCATTTAAATGTATATTTTATTGCATAGCTTGTAGGTTATCTGTCTTAATTGAGAAAGAAGGGTACAAATGTTCATGTAGTATTAGTCTGTGTTCTTTGTTTCTCATCCTCAGCACAGCCTGATGGAAACGAATGTGTGCGTTGCTGCCTCAGTGTGTGTCAGTCTGACTGTTGCATAAGAGGATCTGCTGCTGTCCCAGAGCTTAACCAGGGATTTAAGCCTCTCTTTCTCACATTCTCCTGCACTCTCTCTCCTTCCTGAGTCGTCTGCCCCGTTAGCGCTCTGTTACACTTGCTAATCTCTGTTCGCATGTAGGTTGTATGTAAATTGCGTGCTTGTTTTTTCCATTTGTGAACACAGATATCTGTTAACACTCGATATTTTCAGTTTCTTTGATCCCACCTATGCACCGCAAGAGATTTAGGCGCAGCTGTCTTTTCATGTCGCTACATTTTATTGCTGTTGGTAAAATATAAAAAAAGATTTGATATATGTGTGTATTTATATAGCAGCCCATGTAAAGCAGACTTTGGCTTTTATTTTAGAAGAAAGAAAACAAGTAAAAATATTAACATATAAACATTCTTAACAAAACATATTAATTACCTTAAAGGCATTTTTTTAAAGATTATTTGTAGTGTTTGTTTTCTGGAATATGATCAGTATTAGCAAACCAAATCTTTCCTGTGTGGTAGGATAGCAGCCTATCAGTGAGACACACAACACCACATTTTCGAAGATTAAATGTTTCTAGTTTTAATAGCGCAGTTAAAGTTGTTGCTATATATTTAGCTGTCTCTTATTAGGCCAAGTTACCTTGAATGAATCTGCTGACTCATCAGCCAGCTATTAGACCCCCAAGATTGGAGTAAACCTTTGGATTTTGTGTCAGGCTGTCAGCTCCACAGAAGTGAGATATTTCTATACTTTTCTTGGTATTGTAATTATTTGTAAATTATCCAGATAATCTGCAATTGTCATAAGGACTGATATACTCCATGGAACAAAGAACTTAGAAACATCCAAACTATGTCATTGCTATTTCTGAAAGGTCATCATTAGTTCCAAATTCAGCATGATTGTAAAGAGAGATGCTGAAAGACAAAAAAATCAACCAGAGCAGCTTTTCTGTGGTTCATTCAGCCTTCTTGTTATCTACTAAAGTCTGTCTCTCTCTTTAGATAAGAGCCTGGGTCAGCAGCAGAAATCTGTCAGCACTTTCTCTGACTTAGTGGTTCAACGCCTCAAAAATAGCCAACTTTTAGTGTTCATCCCTTATTTGCAACATCCACTCTGAAGAGTGTTATTCAAACAACCAACCAATTGTGAAGTTTGCTGCACTCTGTTTGCAGCAAACTTCTTTTTTTGCCAGGTTTGATAGAACAAAGGTGCAACCAACTGCTCCCTTTTTATGGCTGCTTGCAGTGTAAAGAAAAAGTTACTCCATACAGGTTATTGATTTTTGTTTAACTTTCTAATGTCTTGGTAAGAATCTGATGCTCCATCTTCCGCTATATAATTTTATTGCGAAACAAAGAGTCAATAAGGAGCTGTTCCTTCTTGAATAATTTATTGTAAGGTTTACTATCCTTTTATTGGCATTAAGACATTATAATCTTTTTTTCATAAAATGTCTTTCAGTCTTCAATCAGACACTTTTTACCTTCCTTAATGTAATTTCTGCTGAGGCATCCTGGGATTGAAGTTGACCTGCTGTCAATGCTTCACTAAGGAAGTTTCACAGAGGTTTAAAAGGCACAACGATGCATGTTGCTACAGGACATTAGCTGAGTAAATGTTTTATGTGGTTCAGTATGTATTTGGTTGCTAAACCTCTTTATCTGAGTAACTGTTGTGACACTCGTGGGAAAAGCTCAATAGAATTATCTCTAGCGCTTCCTGTTTGAAACCTGACATCTCTGTTTTACTGAAGATGAGAGTCGAAATAATTGGAGAGCTTTTAAACATAGGGTGTGAATGAAAAATTCAAAAAAAAAAAAAATCCAGTTAGCATATTACATACAGATCTGCTTTCAATAACAGCAGTAAACGAGGTCCATAATGATGCTTAAATAACAGTTATAAAGACAATAGTGCTAATGGTGATAATGATACAAGTGCTAATGAGAAGTGTAATTTTAGTGAAGATAATGACCTCTTGTGCGTGGGTTGGTGTGTTTGTTTGTGCTGCAGGACAGCCCCTTCCTCTACTCTCACCGTTTAGCTGCATTTTTCTCCCTCTCATTTGCTTTTTCTCGCCTCCTTGTCTTTGCAGATCGACTTGGAGCCTGAGGGGAAGGTCTACGTGGTCATTGATCTGTCTGGATCCACGACTGAGGGTAAGATCACAGCAATGCCATGTTTTTACTGCTGCAAACAACGAAAGGGCTCACAAAACCTGTATTTTGAAAAGGGTTGAATCTCAAAACTGTGTTGGTTTGATTTGGGTGGAATTAAAACAGCATTATAATCCCCACTTTATTCCATGTTAAAAATAAATTCCAGAAGAATTTGTTGTTTATGCTTTAAAATGTAGTTTAAATCATGTGCCACAAAGAATTATAAAAACAATGTGCTAATTAGTAAAAAAAACAAAAAGGTAAAATATCAGTGAAAATTTTCAGTCATGCAGGTCATGCTAAAAGTTTCCTCAGACTTCCAGAAAGTAGTTTAGTAAAGCATCTGCAATTTGGACGTGTGTGTGCTTCTTCCTACCTGGATGCCCTGTTCTACTGCCTTAGTTTCCTTTAAACAAAATACACATTATACACATATATATACAATAACTGCAGGCTAAAAAATTTAAATCTTTCCTCAGTTTCCTGGAAGTTGTGAGCCCTTCATCTTCTGAGTCATGCAAACTCCTCTCCAGCTGTTGGCCGACTCCATTCATTTTTTCCCCCATCAAGCTTCCCAGACACTAGCTCTCAGGGGATATTCACTATTCTAATTTATAAAGATTAGATGCAGCTTGGTCAGTTCATATGCTTAAAAAAAACTATTTATTTATCTTTTCCTTGACCAACTGTATTCTAATGAATGCGCTTCCGTACATTCTAATAGTTAAGTAACAAAAGAACAGACTGGTTTTTCAATGAGAAGAGACCTGGAAAAAACAGTTCCTAGAAAGCTTTTCTCTATAAGTGTCATAAAAGGTCCTAAAAGGTTCTTTGTATAAATTGTTCCTAGACGAAAAGTTAATGTTATCCAAGTAAAGCAAAGCAATCGGAGTCTAAAACACTCAGAATCAAGGTCAATTATCTAAACAATTTCAATTAGCTTAACAGTCTGACAAACTGATTAAAATGTTCAGATTACATAAATAAACAGCTCAGTATCTTCAGCATGGCAATCAATATTTATCCTGTTTGGTTTATTTTTATTATCAATTTCATCCTGCGAGGACAAATTTTTATGTACATATTATTTTTCATTTATGTACAAGTAAATAATTCCTTGGCTTAATTTAGATTTAGATGCAGAATAGATTATTCATCCCGAGAGGTGATTAGTTTTGGGAATCCACCTAGATAGCAGAGAGAGTTTGATCATAAAACCCAGAAAAACAAATAAAATACCATAGACATTACAGGTTATCTAATGGCCTCTGAAGTGAATGTCAGTTTAATGATGTGGATATTCTGTAACACACTATAAAAAAAGACATGTAGCTCTTATGTGATAACCTGTCCACTGTAGGGATAATAACGCTGTCCGTAATCACAGGATCATAAAAGGTTAAATTCGATATTTCAATCACATTATCGGCTTATAGTTCAACTAGTCAGTGAATCGCTTTATTGCGCTTCTGACACCATTTTTATCAGCTCTTATTTCGCTTGAAAGAAGAAACATATGCAAAAAATCATATATATATTTATCTGTTATAAAAAATTGCAATAATGCATGTAATGTTTTTATAAAAATCTCCATCAACACAATTATTGGCACCTGTAGATGCAGCGACCAATCTTTTGACTTGACTTTTGATAATTGGACACCAGTCAGTCTTCTTTTTTTGCAAGGTTGGAGCATTCACACTGATCTTTGACTATTTGCACAAACTCCGTAGAGTTTATTCCCTTGAGCTCAACCGATGATTGAAATGGCCATGGAAGAAGGTTGATTTTGTACGTAGTGAACCATCTCTGTTTTGACCTAGTTTTAGGAACATCATACACCTATTAGAGTACAGACCTTTATGTACTGTAAGAGATTTGAAGCTTCAACTTAGTCTATTATGACTAAATCCTGTAGTTGCAGCAAAAGATGCTGTAGCGTATTGGAAACTCTTCAAGTTATCTTTATGGAATGGAATTTTTTTTCTTCTTTCATGCTGCTTAAACGTTATTTTTTTCCAAGATGCTACTTTGGGTCTCGAAAACTTTTCCCTACCAAGATAAACCTCCTCTTACAGTAGACACAGGCAGGTTAAGGTGTGTATATTTTTGCCTTTTCTTTTTAGAATTTTGATGGTCAGCGCATGCCTGCCTCTTATTAATTTTATTTTCACTTTCTGGTTTTATATAGTTGCATATAGAACCTAAAACTTTAAACCTTCATCTGTGATGAAGGCATAGGCAGCTTTGCCTTAGAAAAGGAGAAAATGATGCTAAATTTGAATGCATAGCTTGTTTTCGACGCCCCCAAGTGGTCGAATAGTACAAATTTAACATGATACTTTTTAGCCCCCTGCCTTAAAACTTGATGAAGGAAATGATTTTGCAAAGCCCTGCTCTCCTGAAAAGCTGTACGATTCCTAGATTCTTCCATATTATTCCCTCTGTTAAATTCTTTTCCATTCCCGTAAAGTAAACATGCAAACATCCAGAATTCCTTTCTGTCCACACAAATTCCCTCGGCCTCATGCCACCTGATAAGAGTGGGTTTCACCCGCACATGTGCATCCTTGCACCTAGTTATAAATAGAAGCGTTTCTCTGCTTTGCACTCAGCGTCTGTGTTCTTTTTTTTTGTGATGGTGCTTGGATAACCGAACAGAGTAGAGCGCAGCAGAGAGGCTCGGCAGATTGCTGCAGAGGATATCTCTCTGTTTAGAAGCGGACAAAGAGAGGGGACGAGAAAGTGAGCAGATTCTTAAAATAGTAGGTGATATTGAACCAGGGATTACCACACACACTGCAGAGGCAGCAGCAGACTCGGGCATCCATGTCTTGCCCTCCTCATAGATGATTGGCCACTCCGTGGTGACCTCACAACCCACTCTCCTCCCACTCCTGAACCTTCTCTCCTCAGTTCAGCAGGCTCAGAAGCTCATCATGTTAATGCATGCTGATGAAAACAAATGGTCTGTGTGTTAGGGAGTGTGTGTGTGTGTGTGTTGGTGGAAAGGATGGAAAGGAATAATGGTTGCAGAGACGGAGGGTGAGAAGTAGAGGAAGAGGTGGTATTTTTAGAAGATTTATTTTTTCCCCATGGTGCAATCTGTTCTCTGCAGTTTCAGAAAGTGGAAGGATATGTTTCTGTACTTTCTTCTTTTTTCCCCCTCCTCTCTCCACCCTGTTACAGCTGTTGTTCATACCTATAATATCACTTATATTCAGAATAGGGGCTACTTCTGCAGATTACTACAATTTAGCAAGAAAAACGTAATTGTTTGGAGTTATTCGTATCATGCTTATAGAAAGTCCAGATTTCACCTGGACTTTTTACCTCTCTGTGTTAGGGTATAATTATAGACTTAATATTTCTATTTGCGAAACTACAAAAACCTCTTTGTCCTGATCTTTTCAGTTACACTTTGATTTATGTCATTCTGTGTTTTCTACTTATTGGTGTCATTTTCCTTTAGTGTCATTTAAGTTCTTTCCTAGTTATATTTAAGCCTTATTGTAGTCCCTTGTTATTCCCTGACCCCCCCTCCTGTTCACCTGCTCCCAATTAGTCTATTACTTCATTCATTGTTCTGTTCTCCATATATACCCCTCCTCTGCAGTTACTCTTGGCTGGATTCTCTTCATTCCCTCCTGAAGTTTTGTTTTACACTCTGTTCTGTTTCCTGTGTTCCCTGGTTTGTTATTACTAGATTTATGCTTCAGTTGCCAACACCCTCACCATTAAATCTGCAAGGAACCATCTCTGCCTCCGTCCTGCATTTTGGGTCCCCTACAAATCTCCACTCAACTTGACAATCTCTTTTGTCTAATCAGGCGTGTATATGTAATTTTGGGCGGCTTTCTTACTGCTTCCTAAGATTAAAAAATTAGAGATATTTTTTCTTCTAAGTAAACACATGCGTTGTCTTCAAATATCTGAAGCCTTTATTTAGATATTCAATGATTATCAATGATTATCCTAAAAATCAATTAATTGTACAGAGCAATTAATTTTTTTCTTTTCTTTTTCATAAAATGTTTCCTTTTTGTTTAAAATTTAGACATTTAGACGTAAAATTTATAATTGTGTAATTTTTACTATGTAAAGGCAGGAAGAAAAAGCAATAGCCTAAAAAATCTGCAGCAAGTACCGGTGATCAGATAGACACATGTCAAAATGATCAGTTTCAGCTTAAAAAAACCTCTACTGATGGATCCCTACTGCTGACAATCAAATAATCCTCCAGCCCAATATATTGACAGTTTCAGCACAGGCAGCACTTTATGTGAATAATAAAGGCTTCGTTTCCATGTACATATTTTTCTTTTCCAAGGTTTTTTAGGACTTTTACAGTTGCTTCTTATTTTTCTTTAAATATTTAAAAAGGATTTAAAAAAAAAGTGTTTTATATATTAAGATATCCTCTAAGCATCCATATTTTTCATTTTTCTGTTAATGTGTAGATTTAATTAATAAGTCAGTATGAAATTGCATTACAGTCATTTTCTTGCGCTCTCATCCCGTAACCAGGGAAAAGCAACAAGGGGTAATAATAACCAAAAGGCATTGAAAATGTTCTGGGGGTTTATTTTGCCTTTGCAAACGAAAGAAGTTTTATTAATGTAAAAAAGTATTTTAATGACTTATGATCCTGGTAAAAATATTATTTTGGATTTATTAGTCCAAATTAGGAGCCCTTGAGTTCCCTAATACATAAATATTATTTAGGGCCATAAATCCTCCCTAAAAAGTTTTTTATTTATTTTTTTATTGAAACAATTACTGTAAGACCCTCAATGTGCAGATTAACTGCTTTTTATCGAGTATAATTTTATTGTTAGCTGTTTTAACACTTTAGTAACGATATTGGGTCATATTCACACTAAGCTGGGTTGGGACTATCCGCCAGCTTTCTTTATTGTATGGAGCCCCGTCAGGCTTTTAGCTAGCAATGCGTAAGGTTTTACATTGTACACCGTTTTACTAAAAACATAAAAAAAATG